TGTGTACGTACACAGTCTGGTGTTCACACAGTGATGAAATCACCTAGCAATGCACTTCTCAGAATGTATCCCTGTTAACTGACACCTGACCATACCTTAAAAGACCACAGAATTATATCCCAGAATTATCAAAAAGTCTGACATAAATTAAAAGATTTGTCTCTTTCTGGGCTTTACCTCCTTCCTGACTTAGGTGCTTTTGTGCTAATGTATTTTAATGTTCTATATACCTCAAACTCCACAAGACTTTTTAGTGGTGCTTTCATGGTGCTGTCCTGCCAATGTTCATTCAATTTACACACATATTTATAGTCCCTGTAGTTCTTTATTCACCTACATCTTTGGTCTTCCATTTGGGATCACTTTCATTCTATGGAACATCCTTTAGTAACAGATTCGATGAGTTTACCTTTGTATCAGATGTCTTTATTTTCATTCCATTTTTAAAGGATCTTTTTGCTGTCTGTCGAATTTTTGGCAGTTATTTAATTTCAGCACTTTAAAGATAACCAATTGATTATTTTCTGGTTTTAAAATTTCCTTGAGGAATCTGTTATCATACTTATTTCCCCTCTTTCAAATGTTTCACCCCTGTCCTAGCACCTTCAGTCATATTTCTTTTTGGTTTTCAGCAGTTTTATGGGGAGATGCCTAAGTGTGGGGTTTTCATTTTTCCCCTTTCTCTGTCTCTTTTGCATTTATGCTGCTTGGGTGATGAACAACTCTTGAATTTGGGGGTCTTTTTTTTTGTATTAATTTTGCCTTATTTTGTCTTCTCTTGAGATACCAATTAAACATGTTAGGCTTTTTAAAAATGATTTCCGCTATCTCCTGCATTCTCAATTTACTTCATTCTGGATGTTTTCTTTTGACCTGTCTTCCAATGTACTAAAATCTCACTTCAGTTATCAAATCTGCTGCTAAAGTCAGTCATTGAGTTCTTAATTTCAGTTACTGTTTTTCATTTTATAATTTCTAATTCTCTGTTGAAATTCTTCATCTTGACTTTCACTTCCTTGAATATGTAAGCCACAATAATGTAAAATCTGTGTAAAAATAATTCCATTATGTGAGGCCGCTGAGTCCATTTCTCTTGTATTTTAGATTTTGATCACATTGTCTTGTCTTGTGGAGTGCCTGGTCAGTTTAGATTGAGTGACAACTATTGCATATGATAATGATAAAGGAAATTTGAGGCCTAGGATGGTGTGATCTTCCTACCAGAAATACTTGAGGTGATTTCTAGCAAGTGGTCATCACTGAATCCAGTCAGCAATTAAGGTCACTCAAAAATGTCATAGTTCCTTCAAAGGACATTGTATTGACAGTTTAATATTCCACATATCCAGCACTTTCTAGTCTCAACTCAAAGCCCAGGGCTTTTACTAGAGTTCCCCNCGGAGCCGGCCCGGCGAGCCCTCCCGCCACCCGAGCCGCGGAGGAGACGCAGCGACTCCTCGCCTGCGCCCCCGAGAGCCGCACTCCGGACTGGCCGGGTAGTGAGGGGCCCGAGAGCAGATCCCGAGTCGGGCTTCGCTCAGCCTCCGACGAGGGCTGGCCCTTTGGAAGGCGCCTTCAGCAGCAGGACCAGCCAGGCCACCATGACCGACAACTCCACGTCCGCCCCTGCGGCCAAGCCCAAGCGGGCCAAGGCCTCCAAGAAGTCCACGGACCACCCCAAGTACTCAGACATGATCGTGGCTGCTATCCAGGCCGAGAAGAACCGCGCTGGCTCCTCGCGCCAGTCCATCCAGAAGTATATCAAGAGCCACTACAAGGTGGGTGAGAACGCCGACTCCCAGATCAAGTTGTCCATCAAGCGCCTGGTCACCACCGGTGTCCTCAAGCAGACCAAAGGGGTGGGTGCCTCGGGGTCCTTCCGTTTGGCCAAGAGTGACGAGCCCAAGAGGTCAGTGGCCTTCAAGAAGACCAAGAAAGAAGTCAAGAAGGTGGCCACGCCAAAGAAGGCAACCAAGCCCAAGAAGGCTTCCTCCAAAGCCCCAAGCAAAAAACCCAAAGCCACTGCAGTCAAGAAGGCCAAGAAGAAGCCGGCTGCCACGCCCAAGAAAACCAAAAAACCCAAGACTGTCAAAGCCAAGCCAGTCAAGGTATCCAAGCCCAAGAAGGCCAAACCAGTGAAGCCCAAAGCAAAGTCCAGTGCCAAGAGGGCCGCCAAGAAGAAGTGACAATGAAGCCTTTTCTCGTGGACGCTCCTTTCTATCTCCTATGTTTTGTACTTTCCTCCTTTTTTCTCTCTTGATCCTCATCCTTTGCCCCTTTCATTCTGACTTTATAAGAGACGGAATTTGGATTCCTCCGAACTTATGGAATAGTTCATTTTTCCTTAACCAATTGTTCAAGGACAGCAACAAGAAATCTCATCTCTGTATAATAATGAGAATGTACTTATATTTTGTTTTTTTGATTTGCTATTAATCTAATGGGTTTAAAGGATTGGGGTGGTTTTGTGTGTTTTGTTGACATGTTTGCTATGAAGGTAGATGGGAGAGGAGAGAACGGGCAAGATAGTTTGTCTGGCTAGGTGAGAGGGAGCCCAGGAGTTGTAAGGTTTGTAGGAGTATCTTTTAAGGTCAGTGAACTTTAAATTGGGCACCCCTTGTGAGAATTTCTGAACCTTTGGCCGAGAAGTGGGGTGGCAGCAGCCAGACAGTAAAGGATGGAGGTAGATAAAACGGTCTCTGGGCTGATTTCCACCTCACAATGGTGA